CTGAAGGGTGTTGGTTCAAATCCCAGGCCGAGCAGAGTATCTTCACCTTTAGGTCCCTGAGCGAGGCCTTTAAGACCTTATTGCTCCAGGAACTGTCTGATTCTGCTTTCTCAACAATGTACACTGCTTTTGATAAAAATGTCATCTTATTGTTAAAAGAAATAAAACAAATAGTAAGTGATTATTAAGACATTGGAAACTGAGCGGCGTGTATGATCACATTCATATCTGTTTTACAGTTGCTGTTTCCCCTCCAAAATGGAGGATGGACAGTTCCGGAATGTAGATGATATTGCGGAATTGATCGCTGCAAAAGTGAGATAGTGTCCACCTCCCTGTTCTGCATCAGTAAATCAAGATGCCATGTTTATAGGCCATGTTAACGACCGTGAGGTCGCCTTCTCTTCCCCAGTGAGCTCCTCGCAGGATCCTGGAGCGGCGAGATAAGGTGGGAACGCCAAAAGAGAGGGAACAGACCCCCCCTTCAGCTGTGCGGGCCGTTAAAAACCCAGAATGCTCTGCTCATAGCGGCAGCTTGTTGCTATGCAGGCCGCTGTCCCTCGTGTCCAGTCCACTGATGGATGACCTGTTTCCCGAGCGCTAACCTCCTCCCCAGTTTCTCCACCCCCCCACCGAATGCTTTATGATTACTTGCTCCCTGACCACCTATTACCCACAGCAATGCTCCAGCCATCGCCCGTGGCAACGCGCTACCCATCGCCTGTGGCAACACACCACCTCGGTGAGGGGTCCCTCCCCCTGCCTCGCTTTCTTTATTTAACAGGTGGTCTGTGCAATGCGGAGAGACCACGTGCTGATTCCTATCAGCATGAAGCGTGCTGATGTTCGTTACCCATCAGCCTTTGCTGCAAGGTCAGGATGCATACCAAGGAGCAGAAAAAGGAACCGTGACAGAGCGAGTGATTCAGCAGGAGCGTGAGGGCATCCCTGTGCGCTCATGGGGGGGAAGAGGCTTGTTCTCAGAGAACTTCCTGTTTCCTCTCCAGCTGCTCTGCTTTTCCAAGGCCATGATAAGGCACCTGCATGAACAAGGCGTCTCATGGGGAGAGCCAGCCACAGACGCACAAAGTGCTGATGGGGGTGCTCGAGGGGAGCTGCCAGGAGCGTGCAGAGCTGCGAGAAGAACAGGCAGTCAAGCTTGAGAGGAAAGTCAATAACGTCCCTCCCCATACTGTCCTTTCCCAGATACATCACTTCCCTACGCACGTACTCATACCTGCCCCCCCAGACGAGGTTGAAAACGTCTCTCGTCAGGCCTCTGTGCATGAAGCTGGGCAAAGGGTACACATGTGCAAGGTAGAGCAGGGTGGGAAGAATATCCACTTTTAAGGCCAAAACCGTATACCTTGGAAGGACAGGGACCTGGACTTCCAGAGTCTGATTTTCCGCCTGGCGATCGCCAACCGCTCCTCCCAGTTCAAATGGGCGGCACCATCCGAGAGAAAGTTGACCCCCAACACTTTGAGAGGTCCGTCACAGAGGGTGAGACCACCTGCGACGTCCTCCCTCGCCTTCCAGCTGCCGAAATACTTGGCCACCGACTTACTGAGGTTGAGCGTCGCGCCGGAGGCCCTACCGAACGCATGAACAAGGCTCATGGCATGACCGAGAGACTGATCCAAGCAGAAGAAAAGGGTGGTGTCGTCTGCGTACTGGGTCAGTTTAACAGTTTTCCCCCGACTTCCTGGGATAAGAAGGCCATCGACCCTGGAGTGGGCGCGAATGGCGCACGCCAGTGGCTCTATATAGAGCGCGTAGAGGAGGGGGGAGAGGGGACATCCCTGCCTCACTCCACTCAGCTGGGGCACCAAGTCACTCAGGAAGCCATTGATAACAACATGGCTCCCAACTTCGTTATACAAAGTGTGTAACCACCCCAGGTAATTGGGTCCAAAGCCAAACTTACCCAATACTTGAAACAGGAAGCGGTGATCTACCCGGTCGAAGGCTTTCTCCTGATCCAAGCTGACCAGCAGGAGAGGGAGGGTCCTGTCCTCCACCCAGGCGATGGCGTCGCGGATGAGATGGAGGTTCCACATCGCCGACCGACCCGGTACTCCACACGTCTGATCGCTATGAACCAGATGAGCCATGGCCTTCTTCAGGCGTTCGGTAAGGGTCTTTGCGATGAGCTTTGTGTCTACACAAAGCATGGTCAGGGGCCTCCAGTTGCCAAGGTTGGCCCGATCGCCCTTCTTGTGCAACAAAGAAAGGACCCCTGACCTCATGCTCCTAGTGAGCTGAACGTCCTCTACAACCTGCAGTAATTCCAGCCTGAGGACATCCCAGTGACGGTCACCAGTCCCTGAGGCACCAGTTTGATTGATTGATTGATTGATTGATTCTTTTATTGCTGTTGCAATTCACCATGTCACTAGTCACAAGTACCAGCGAAAAGCAGGCCATCAACCCGACCATACATACGCAAACATTATAGGGGGGCAGACAGGTCAGGAAGACAGGGGACTGTAGGAAAACTCAGAGAAACAGATTACGTGAGGAGAGTGGAGGTGAATAAAAAAAACAGCCCCCAGACTGTACTCTAGTAGGGAGTACAATATAGGAACAGAAAAAAACACCTCAGCAGTAAGCACATAGTCACCACATCTCACAACACTAAAGTCGGGAATTGCAACAGGGGAGGGGAATGGGGAGGTGGAGGTAGTCCAGCATAGACAAACAGCCGTCCGTTCCTGCAGCCAGACGGCGCTGTACAACCGCTCGTTCACGCTGGGGGTATGAAGCGGCGAAGGCGTGGGATGGGGGTAGGGTGTCCTTGTGGTTGGGGGAGAGGAATGCAAGAGAGTCTCACTGCCTTGTTCTTCAGGGGGAGTTGTTGAGTTCAGCAGAGGCCTTGGCCAAGGCCCTTGCTGATTAGGGGGGAGCCAAAAGCAGATAGAATGGGGTTGTTTGGGTTTTCAGGCGAGAAACTGTAATTTCGCAGCTCCTCTAATGTCCATGC